GTTGCCTAGGCTGGTCTTGAACTCCTGAGCTCAAAGCGATCCCCCCGCCTTGGCCTCCCAAAGTGCTGGGTTTCAGGTTTGAGCCACTGCGCTGGCCTCATGGTCATTTTCCAAAAGGTAAAATTTACATACATTGAAATGAACAAATATTAACTATACAATTTTGATAAATGGCTATATTTGGGTAAAACATTAACAGGGCTAAGAATAACTACCCACAGACTGCTGGGAAAAAGGGAGCAATTTCCCTGCCACTCCTACCTCCCAGAGAGAATAGACAGAGCCAAGCAGGTGTCTCACGTTCTAAGTCTTAAAACCAGTGTGTGGAAAGTCACAAGCAGACAAGGAAGCAGAAGATCAATGTGACTTGGGTTTGTCTTGGCTGGGATAGGACCCATGTCAAGAAACAGGTTCTTAAGTAAACCTGGGTTTTAACTGAAGCCAACTTTAGACTGGATGCCTCGGGATCTGGGGGAGGTCACTTCTTCCCCTGTTCCCAAAGCATCTGCTTTCAGAAGAGAAGTTTCTCTTCTCCTCTCACAGTCCCTAAAAAGCAGATTCTTTTTTTTTTTTTTTTTTTTTTTTTTTGAGACGGAGTTTCACTCTTGTTACCCAGGCTGGAGTGCAATGGCGCGATCTCGGCTCACCGCAACATCCGCCTCCTGGGTTCAGGCAATTCTCCTGCCTCAACCTCCTGAGTAGCTGGGATTATAGGCACGCGCCACCATGCCCAGCTAATGTTTTGTATTTTTAGTAGAGACGGGGTTTCACCATGTTGACCAGGATGGTCTTGATCTCTTGACCTCATGATCCACCTGCCTCGGCCTCCCAAAGTGCTGGGATTACAGGCTTGAGCCACCGCGCCCGGCCTAAAAGCAGATTCTTTGGGGAGAATGTCAAAATTAGGGGCTGGGCACAAGTGGCTCATGCCTGTAATCTCCACACTTTAGGAGGCCAAGGCAGGAGGATTGCTTGAGGCCCGGAATTCAAGACCAGCCTGGGCATCATGGTGAAACCCCGCTCTACAAAAAAATACAAAAATTAGCCAGGTGTAGTGGCACATGCCTATAGTACCCGCTACTGAAGAGGCTGAGGTGGGAGGATGCATTGAGCCTGGGAGGTGGAGACTGCAGTGAGCTGTGATCACACCACTGCACTCCAGCCTGGGTGGCAAAGTGAGACACTGCCTCGAAAAAAAAAAAAAAAAAATGAGGGCGGAGTGGGCCAGGCAAATCCCCTGGAGCTGGGTGTAGCAGGGTCAGTAGGGAGTTGTTGACTCAGTTGCAAATGCATCTTTGCTTGGAAAGTACCTGACCCTGACCAGAGCAGATTCCATTAATCAACCCCAAATTAATGGAAGCCCTATGTTACTTCCAGCAAGCTCTAAAAGTTCCCTGTTAAGGAGAGACTAGCCCTTTGCTGGGAAGTACCAATGAATTCTGCTTAGCATAGGAACATGGAAAACCATGGAGAAATGTCAGAATTTGGAAGAGGAGTCCCTCAGAGGAGACGTTCTCTCAGGCCCAGCCCTGGTGGGTGTTTTGTGAGCTCTTGGTGTTTGCACTGTTTGTTTCAGGGTGCCTCTGCTCAAGCTTTGGGTGGATGGGCTGCTTGAGGCTCAGGGGCATTGCGACCCCGACCTCCCCTTGTGAAGAGGAGGGCTGATGGGGAGAGGACATTTCCCATTGTTCTCCGGCTGCTGTGCTCCTTCCAGGCTCCCTCCCTCCTCCCACTACTTAGGACTGCTGACTCAGTAGGGCCTGGGTGCACCGGCTCTAGACCTCTGAGGCCTGCAGCTGTCTGATCAGAACTGCCTGGAGATTATGTTAAAAACACATTCCCGGGCTCCACCAGCAAGATCCTGGTTCCCTAGCTCTTCTTCTCCTTCCTCCCTTTTCAAAACTCACTCTTCTGTGCCCCAAGCCTTAAATATTAATCCGATTAGAAAATATCACATAAACAAATCTCCTACAAGATAGGGGTCCTTAACCTATGGTCCAAGGACCATTTCCCATATACAGCCAGAGGCAGAATTCAGGTATGTGCATTTTTCTGGGCAGTGGGTCCATTGTATTACTTCAAATCCTCTAAGGAGTCTATTAATCTCCCCTCCTCCCTACACAGGAAAACGTCACCACCTGCCATAATGTATTAGTAATTTTAAAATAGCTTAATATTTTACCAAACCAAGCTGTTTACTTTTTAACAGTGTGGCTGAAATGCTTTAACTCAGTGATTTTTAAATTATGCTCCAGAGTCTAGGGGTTTAGAAGAAAGCCAGCCCCTTAAAAGGGGGAACTAGAGAGTCCCCTGTTAATGGAGCAACATTTTAAAATATTTTTTTCTTGTTAATACTTCTAAGTTAAAATTTTGTTTGAACCAAAAATTTCACACACTGAAAACGTTAAGATGCCAGAGTCTTTACTTGAATGAGTGGCTGGAGGTGAAACTGCAGACACCCAGGCAGACGCAGAGGGTCAAGGTGCCGTTTTGGCGTCCTTTTATTCATCCCTCGAAGTTAGTTGTTTCCTCTACCTACAAGTAAGACCTCCCCTCCCCGAGAGCAAGCAGCAGACCCAACAGCAGCGGAAGAAGCAAACAGACCCCAGTCCCGCCGGCCCTGCTGGCCGTCCTCAGTCACAGACCCCAGTCCTGCGGGCTCTGCTGGCCGTCCTCAGTCACAGACCCCAGTCCCGCCGGCCCTGCTGGCCGTCCTCAGTCCCTGAAACATCACCTAGCAATACGGTGTGGGGCGCGGGCTCGCAGTCTAAAGGAGTCTGGGGGAACCCTGGCCTTACACTGCCCTTTCTTTCAGCATTGCTCTATTCTACTCTGGCTTTCCAGATTCTACTTTGATCCAAACAGCAGAGACAGCACCCCCTGGCAGGGGCTGCCCTGCCTGCTTGGCCATTGACACATCACGCAAAGCAGAAAGTGGCCTTCACACTGACCTGGGGCAGTTTGTGCCACTCTGCTCTAAGCCAGGCAGGACCTTGACCCTGTTGCTCAGTTTGTGTGTAACTTAAGCTGCCTATTTTGGGCAGAGCCTTGGCGTGAGGGTTCTTGGAAGACATTCACCAGTCCAGTGAGGGAGGCAGGACTGCTAGCAGTAATAACAGCCACCCTAGTGAGCATCTCTAAGCACCCATGCGCCAGGCTCGGGGCCCAGCACTGTACCTGCATCTTCTTTTTTTTTTTTTTTTTTGAGACGGAGTTTCACTCATGTTACCCAGGCTGGAGTGCAATGGCGCGATCTCGGCTCACCGCAACCTCCGCCTCCTGGGTTCAGGCAATTCTCCTGCCTCAGCCTCCTGAGTAGCTGGGATTACAGGCACGCACCACCATGCCCAGCTAATTTTTTGTATTTTTAGTAGAGACGGGGTTTCACCATGTTGACCAGGATGGTCTCGATCTCTTGACCTCGTGATCCACCCGCCTCGGCCTCCCAAAGTGCTGGGATTACAGGCTTGAGCCACAACGCCCGGCCTTGTACCTGCATCTTCTTCCCCTTTAGCCCTCACAAAAGCTGCAGGGAGCGGTGGCTCGCTCCTGTAATCCCAGCACTTTGGGAGGCTGAGGTGGGCAGATCACCTGAGGTCGGGACTTTGAGACCAGCCTGGACAACATAGTGAAACCCCTGTCTCTACTGAAAATACAAAAATTAGCCGGGCGTGTTGGAGGGCGCCTGTAATCCCAGCTACTTGAAGGGTTGAGGCAGGAGGATCACTTGAACCCAGGAGGAAGAGGGTGCAGTGAGTTGAGATCACACCATTGCACTCCAGCCTGGGTGACAGAGCAAGACCCCTTCTCAAAAAAAAAAAAAAAAAACCTCCTGAAGGATTGCCAATATTATCCCTTCCGCCTCGACCTCCCTGTTTACAATTGCAATCGGCTCCCGCGTCTCAACAATCCATTGATCCTTCAAATCTTGAACGACTTTAAATTTTTTTCCATAGCATTTACCACCTTCAAACACACACTTTATACCTTTACTATTTGCTGTGTTTATTGTCTATTTCTACCCTTGTCCCCATTCCAGATCAAATGTAAGTGCCATCAGAACACAGATCTTTGTTTTTGTCCATGGACGTACCCCAGACACCCAGAACAGCACCTGACATAGTAGCTTTCAATAAGTATTTGTTGGATGACTGAATGGTGGGACAGGGTGTGGCCCTAGAACAGCTCGGGAGCTGTGGGATGCTGGGATTACAGCCAAAGTTCTAGAACCTGCTTTTGTCCTTCCACCCCATACTGTATGACCATGGCCAGTCATTCAATCTCCCTTGTCTGTAAAACAGGGATAGTAACACCCTGCTAAGATGATTAAATAGTTCAGTAGTTCTCCCTGGCAAAACTGAGGAACACTGATCTCTCTGGATGATTAGGGGATTATGTTTAGGAAAGCTCTTTGTAAAGTCGTTAAAAAAAAAAAAAAAATCAGCTACTGCTCTGACCCTGCCTGAAGAGGGCTTATGAGGGAGTGCCAGGTGTTCTCTCCTCCCGCTGGCAGCAGGGCTGAGAGAAAGGAGCCCCACTGACATTTCTGGCCTTGCCCTGATAATCCTCAGCCGTTAGATGCTCCTCAGTTTCCCCCGTCTTGTTTACCACCTGCCCGACGCGCCCTCTTCTCTAATCCGGGTCTTCTCATACATATGGAGCAACACCTGTCCTTCCCCAGCAACTCCCCGGAGGTCATCTCTCCAAGAGATAGGCTGGTCGCTGACATTTATGACAATCTGTAACTGCGGCCAGCCCCTCAGGTGCAGAGGGTTTTTCCGTACTGGTTGTAAATATCCCTAGGATTGAAATGGCTTTGTCACCAAGAAACAAAATGTCCCTTTATAAATTCCAATCTCCTTCTGATAGGAGAGAATACAGTACCGACATCTGTCTACTAGGCATGGCTTTATGAGATTATATTCTAAAGATGTGCTTCTATTACTTTTTAATGAGATCAAAATGTTCTAATAAATGTTTTCACCTGACTTTTAATCATACATGTCAGGACCAGGCCAACTAGGTGGTGGCCTACGCAAAACTCTCCAAGGAGATCGCTTGTTTGGATATGGTAGCTGCCTGATTGAGAGAGCCTGGAGGACAGAATTCTAGCCTGGAGAACCAGCTCAACAGACAGGGCTTCTGTAACGGGGTAATTCTGTAACTTCTGTAGCTGGGTATTTTGTAATACCCAATCTCCTGTAACACTGTTTCTCCAAATGGAATCCTTAGACCCCTGAAGGTTCCCATATGGGTTCTCAAGAGCCCTCAAAATAATATTCTCTGAAATAATTTTTTAAATTAATAGACTTGTCCGGCCAAGGTGGCTCACGCCTGTGTGCCAGCACTCTGGGAGGCCGAGGCAGGTGGATCACCTGAGGTCAGGAGTTTGAGACCAGCCTGGCCAACATGGTGAAACCTCGTCTCTACTAAAAGTATAAAAATTAGCCAGGCATGGTGGCAGGTGCCTGTAATCCCAGCTACTCAGGAGACTGAGGCAAGAGAATCGCTTGAACCAGGGAGGCGGATGTTGCAGTGAGCCAAGATTCCACCACTGCACTCCAGCCTGGAGGACAGAGCGAGGCCCTCATCTCTAAAATAATAGTAATAATAAATATTAGTTTAGACATATCTGAGTTCATCTTGGTGACTACCTTCCCTCAAGAACAGCCACAAGGTCACAGTGTCTGCTTTTGCATTTGTGTTGACAATTGCCATCTCACCTAGTGCGGCTGAAATTCTTTTGCCTTTCTCTCTTAGAAAAGTGGGTTCTCAAAAGAGAAAAAACAAAAGTGGGCTCCATTCCTACACTCTCCAGCCTCCTCAAATCTGGGCAGGCTTGTGACTACTTAGACCAATAGGCAAAATACAGTGGACATGACACTAAGTGACTGTCAAGGCTAAGTCCTGAAGAGCCACACAGCTTCCACATTGATGTATATTTAGATACGGATTTATCTTTTTCTCCATGGCCTGGAATTCTTAATTTTTGAGTCTGAGATTTGTATCACTTTTTTTCAAAAATTGAGACAGAGTCTCACTCTGATTACCCAGGCTGGAGCGCAGTGATTCCATTTCGGCTCACTGCAGCCTCGACCTCCCTGGGCTCAGGTGATTCTTCCATCTCAGCCTCCCGAGTAGCTGGGACTACAGGCATGCACCCCCATGCCTGGCCAATTTGTGTGTGTGTGTGTGCGTGTGCGTGCGTGCGTGTGTGTGTGTATTTTTAGTAGAAATGGGGATTTGCCATGTTGTCCAGGCTGGTCTCGAACTCCTGAGCTCAAGCATTTCACCTGCCTCAGCCTCCCACAGCCCTGGGATTACAGGTGTGAGCCACTGTACCAGCCTGAGATTCGTATCTTTTATTAATTCCGAAATTCTTAGACATATTCTCTTTGAACATTGCCTTTTTTCCTGCTTTTGCTATTCTTTCTCCTTTCGGAAATCCCATTAGATGTAAGTTGGACCATCTCATTCTATTCTCTATTTCTATTCTATTTCTCATTCTATTCTCTCTTTTGTCTGTACAACAAGTACAAAAATTAGCCAGGCGTGTGGCACATGTCTGTAGTCCCAGCTACTGTAGTCCCAGCTCTGTCTCTCTCTATGCTGCATTGAGTCACGTTTTCTTTATAGTCATTTACTTCATTATCTAGTCATCTCTTTCAAATCTGCAAGTAACCCTAGCCCTTGGTTTTTAGTTTTTTTTTTTTTTTTTTTTTTTTTGAGACAGAGTTTCTCACTCTGTCGCCCAGGCTTCAGTGCAGTGGTGTAATCTTGGCTCACTGCAGCCTCTGCCTCCTGGGATCAAGCGGTTCTTCTGCCTTAGCCTCCCGAGTACCTGGGACTACAGGTGCAGACTACAACGTCCAGCTAATTTTTGTATTTTTTAGTAGGGATAGGGTTTTGCCGTGTTGGCCAGGCTGGTCTCAAATGCCTGACCTAAGGTGATCCGCCTGCCTTGGGCTCCCAAAGTGCTGGGATTATAGGCATGAGCCACTGCACCCGGCCTTAAATTGCAGTAAATATTGTCTCTGTTTGTGCTGCTACAACTAATTACCTAAGACTGGGTGATTTTTTTTTTTTTTTTTTTTTTTTGAGAAGGACTTTCGCTCTTGTTGCCCAGGCTGGAGTGCAGCGGCATAATCTCAACTCACTGCAACCTCCACTTCCCAGGTTCAAGTGATTCTTCTGCCTCAGCCTCCCTAGTAGCTGGGATTATAGGCACCTGCCATCATGCCTCGCCTAGAATTCTATTTCTAAGAAAATTATTCAAGAATTAGATCAAAAAGTCAAAGTTTGGGTTTCAGACTCTTCAATCTACCCTTATCACTTCTTAAAATATAATTTTAGATAATTCACCTTCCCTCTCCAAAAATATTGGCACCCAATATCCCTTAAGATTAAGTTCAAACTGGAGGCCAAGAGCAGTGGCTCACACCTATAATCCCAGCACTTTGGGAAGCTGAGGCGGGGAGATTGCTTGAGCCTGGGAGTCCAAGACCAGCCCAGGCAACATGGTGAAACCCTGTCTCTACGAAAATTAGCTGGGCATGGTGGCATACGTCTGTAGTGCCAGCTACTTGGGGGGCTGAAGCAGGAGTTCTGCTTGAGCCTGGGAGGTCAAGGCTGCACTGAGCAGTGTTTGTCCCACTGGACTCCAGCCTGGGTGACAAAGTGAGACCCTGTCTCAAAAAAAAAAAGTTCCAACTTTACAGGCAGAGAGATCCAAGATGGCTGATCACTAGCAGCTCGGGATTGCAGCTCCCACT